TCTCCTTAATGTCTGGTTTTTCAATGTCCGGTATAATTTTTGGTGTCCTGTTTTCATAAATGTTTCGATATCCTATGCCCCTTGCTCTGTTCCTCCACCAATCCGGGAGTGTTTCTCCCCTACACAGAGCTGCTCAAATATTTCTTATAGGAGATCAAGATATGTCCTATAATCCTGTTTTCCTTGATGATCATGAAAACAGGCAGTACTGGTTGGGACATTGATGTGACAGTAGAATCTTTCCCGGTACCACAGAGCTTCTTGAATATGCCACTGGGCAATTTTTGCCAGAATCAGTGACTATCTTTTCTTGCTTCTTCTTAGCCTCTGTTTTCATCAAATGCTGTCCTTTAAATTTTTGAACTATACAGTTATGCTATCAGAGACCATGACTGAGGAAAGATATTATATATCCTTAGGTCTAACTGTAGAGAATTACAGACACATAAGCTATAAGAGTTTGAAGAAACGTTATGGGAAGAAATTTAGACCCAGAAAGAGAAAGTGACTGGCTCAAAAGTACACAGTAGAACTGGGGCTAAAATCTAACTTTTAGACCAACACCTTTTGAATATAGCCACATTGTCAGAAAAGAACAAAAATAGCCTTGGTAGAAATGTTTTTGTTTTCTTAAAAATAACTTTTTCTGCTTATGAAATTAATGCTTATTGTAGAAAACTTGGGAAAATCAAAAACACCTAAGAAAAACAAGATAAAACATACAATTTTTAGTATAAAGTTAAATTTTGTTCCCGTCTATTTCTCTGCAAATACACATGGAAACATGTACATACATACATATATACATACAAACAAGCATAGTATACCAGTTAGAGTTCTTGGTAAGAAACAGAAAAAACATTCAGCTTGGATTTTGAAGATAACTAAATGAAGGAACTATTTATAGATTCAAAGGAGCCAGTAAGGGGTGTCAGTACACCCACAGACTAGCAACAGTGGGTAGGAGGAAGAAAAAGAGTATTGGAGTCGAGGGAGATCTAGAACCATGGTTGAAAAATAAGCCATTCAAGGTTGTCATCATAGAAGATGTAGACAAAGGATATACCAGTCCTTTCCCCTTCAGCATGAGAGTTTGAGTGTCATTAATTTTGTAATTGTTTCCCTGGCAACTGATGAAAGTTAGAATGCCAACAATGTTAGGAGGCAACTTCACTTATGTTCAAAATGACCCCTGTGTTGGGAGAACTCTAAAGACCTGATGGGGAAGCAGTACTTTGAGCTTCCCTAAGTGCAATGATTCTTGTAGCTGGGCATGTCCCTTCCTAAGACCTTGGATGCTGTTCCTATAAAGTCATTTCAAGAGATGATACTTCCGTTGGATATAAAGCTTTTAAATGAGAGTAGCTTCCTTGCCCCTTCTGCCTTTATGGGGATGACATGGACTGCAGCAAAAACTTCCATGGAAGAGGGACACTGGCACGGCCTTGCTTTATTTCCTGTCCTAAGTTGTCTGAATAGACTCACTTCAAGTGTGGTCTCTGTTTGTCTTTGAGTGTGAATATGCAGTTGAATATAAGAAAACCTTTCTGATGGGCACCTCAGGAATACATCACTGCCAAAACCATAATGCCAAAGCAGAGAGGGGAAGGGGAAAATACACCAAGCATTCTTTCTCTGTCCTCCATTCTCTTAGTACTCCTTCCCCCACATTGACCAAACATAATCATGAGACAGGGGTCAAGCAGACAGTCTGATTGTCCCAGCTTGCATCAGATGCCTCTCACAGTGTATCATTCTCATGTCGATGGACATTTGGGATATGCATAAAGCTGCTATGAATATTCACATACAAAATGAGTGATACATTTTCCCTTCCTCTTGGATAGATTCACAGGAATGGAATTGCTGGATCATAGAATAGATAGATGTTTAACTTTTTAAGAAACTACCAGTTTTCCAAAGTGGTTGTACTATTGTATACTTCCCAACAACATATGAGAGTTCCACTTGTTTCACACCTCTCCAACATTTGGTGTTAAACTTTTTCATCTGGGTTCTAGTGGCTGTGTAGTATTATCCTATTTTAATTTTAATTTGCATTTCCCTGATGCCTTTATGATGTTGAAGACTGTACAATTTTTTTAATTATACTTTATTAATTATACTATTACAGTTGTCCTGATTCTCCTCCCTTTGCCAACCTCCACCCAGTGCCCTCTACTCTCTCAGGCAACCCTCCCGCCATTGTTCATGTCCACAGGTCATGTGTATAAGTTCTTTAGCTACTCCATCTCCTTTACTGTACTTTACATCCCCATGGCTATTCTGTAACTACCTATTTGTACTTCTTAATCCCCTCACTGCTTCACCCGTTCCTTTCACTCCATCCATCTGGCAACCTTCCGGTAACTAACTTCTTTTCACTAGCTTTTAAGAGTCTCTATCTTTAATCTTCAGCCTTTTAATAATGATGTGTCTTGGAGTGGGACTCTTTGCATCCATCCTAATTGTGTCTCTCTGTGCTTCCTAGATTTGGATGTCTATTTCCTTCACCAAATTAGGGAAGTTTTCCTTCACTATTTTTTCCAGAGATATTTCCAATTTCTTGTTCTTTCTCTTCTCCTTCTTCCACCTTTATGAGGTGAATATTCATCTTCTTAAAGTTGTTCCAGAGGCTATTTATACTACCCTCAACTTTTGGATTCTTTTTTCTTCTTCTCACTCTACATGGTTGCTTTTTGTTTCCTTATGTTCCAAATCATTGATTTGATTCTTGGTTTCATCTGCTCTACTGTTATTTCCCTGTAAATTGTTCTTTGTTTCAATTACTGTATCCTTCATTTCTAATTGGGTCTTTTTTATGCTGCTTGAGGTCCTCAACTAAGTTCCTTAAGTATCCTTATAATCAGTGTTTTGAGCTCTGTATTTGATAGATTGCTTATCTCCATTGTTTTTTAGCTCTTTTTCTGGAGTTTTTATCTGTTCTTTCATTTGGGACATGTTTTTTTGTTTCTCCATTTTGGCAGTTTGTTTCTATGTATTAGGTAGAGCTGTTTTGACTCTGTGTCTTGAGATCATGGCCTAATGTAGTAGGTGTCTTGTAAGGCCCAGTGGCAAGGCTCCCTATCACCCAAGCTGGCTACTTGAGGTGCGCCCTTTGTGTGGGCTGAGTGCACCCTTCTCTTGTAGTTGAGCCTTGGTTGCTGTTGGCAGGTCAGTGGGAGGGATTTGCCCAGGTCCGTGAGCTGCAAGGACTGGCTGTGACCACTGACCATCAACCTCTGCCCTCCATGGAGGATCAGCTGTGCAGGGGCAGGGTGGTGGTGCTCTGATGTGGTCTGTAGCTGTCCACTGGATGTACTGGCCCTGGGGTTTCCTGGGTGGTACAGGCCAAGGTCAGCCCCAACCTGTGTTTTGCCCAGGGCCACCCTGCCTGAGCTGTAAAACACTCTGAGATGGCTGCTACTTATGCTAGGCTTGGAGATTTCCAGGTGAAGCCAAGCTGTGACTCTAATCTGGCTGCTGCTAGAACTCACTGTAGGCAGCAGTTGTTTGTTTAATAGGATTTAGGAGCCAAGAGGAACCATTTTGATAGAAAAGCTGCTTGGGTAGACTTGTAAATTGGGTGGGGCAGTCTCTGGGGATCTCCAGGTCAGGTCACACAGAATTAGTCAGGTCAATGGAGTCTCAGATATGACATCAGCCTATTGGCTTTGTTGGGGAAGGGCTCAGCAAGGGGACTAAGGCCTCTGCTAGCCCCAATGCCAGACACTTCAGTCCCTCACTGTATACCCTGTTGCTGGAGCTCAGAGGGAGTGAGTCTGTGTGTGGGTTTCCCAAGAGGAACTGCTTAGGGTTTTAGCATCTTCCTTTACCAACTCAATCTCTGCTGGTTTTTGCAGCCAGAAGGACTTATCTTCCCAGCACTGGAATTCTGAGCTGGGGGACTGGCGTGGGTCTGAGACTCCTTGCTCCTGAGATATCCCTCCTGAATTTTCATCCATGTGGATATAGGGCCAGCCTGTTCTGCGTCCTCACTCCTCCTACCAGTCTGGATGGATTCCGTAGTTGTCAGACTTCCATTCAACTCAATTTCTGACATTCCTGAGTGATGGCTGTTCTATATTTTAGTTGTAATTTTGATGTGGCTGTGCAAAGTGGCGAGTCATGTCTGCCTACGTCACCATCTTTAAAGACTTTTTTCACGTACCTTGGTACTTGTTAATTCTTTCTGGAACTTGTGATGAGTGCCAAAACTGATGAGAAAAACCATGAAGCATTTTTTCTTGTGGGGCAGCATCACGCAAGTTCTACCATGTGCAGTGAGTCCCAGCAAGCCCCAAGAGCTGAAACATTTTTTTTCTCATCAAAATGCCTCGAGTACAGAGTTTAATGAGTTCTGAAGCTAATGAGTGCTGAGGTGTGACTGCACTTATTTGTCATTTACATATCATCTTTTACAAAGTATCTGTTCAAGTTGTTTTAGAACTGGATTGTCTTTTTATTAAATTGTGTGGATTCCTTATATATACTAGATTCATATCCTTTATCAGACTTACGTGTTATGATATTTTTCTCTCACTCTGTGGCTTGTCTATTAATGGCAGATTTGCAAAATTTAAAAATACTGATGAAGCTTTTAGGCTATTAAATAGCTGCCTCTCATATCATGGATGGGCAAGGTTGTTTCTTATTATTTATATACGATGAACTTGAAGTCTAGAGAAACTGTGATTTGCCTAAGATTCCACGCTCTTAAGTGCAGACCAGGGGCCAGAGTCCAGGTCACTGCTTCTTGGCTATTGCTCTTTTCACTCTAACTTCCTGCTTTCCATATGCTTGAGATTATTTCTCTCCTTGTTTTATGTATAGGTGAACCTTTCCCTCTCAAGTAGGAAGAGTTTAGAGAATTGTAAATATCATTTTAAGGGAAGAGATATTGTTTGACAAGTAAAGCCAACCTTCAGGGCTCAGTTGCTTTAGAGTGGTGTGTGATGGTACATTTTCAGCCTGTGCATGATTTTTTTTTTTTAAATTAGGAACCTGACCTTAATGATGATGATAGAAATATGGAAATAACTCCAGGGGATGAGGCACTTCGGAACACCAAAGAGCAACGGGATCAGGAAAATCGGTTGAAAGAGATAGATGCAAAGCTGAGAAAGATGAAGGAAAATGTGGTAAGTCTTTTTTAATTTGAAATTTAATTGTAAGCAATGATTGTGTTGAAAAGGTTCCAGTTTCCTTTGTCTGTTTTATGGCTGTTTTTATGCGTTAAATCTGTCAAGAGAACCAAGATGGAAATTTGCCAGTTAGAATTTGAATGAGAGCTATAATATGATTTATAGAACTTAAAGGAGTATTGTGTGTGTGTGTGGGGGGGCTGTGCCCTCAGAGCCCCCCGTCTGCCATGGATGAGAATATGTCTACCAAGACATGATCTGCGTGGGGAGGAAAGGTGGCCGATCTCTCAAAGGAGAAGGGCCAGGAGCCTTTTCCTCAATGGGCTTTTATTGGGTTCAGCTTGCACAGGAATATAGGTAAAGCTCATCAATCATTGTCAGGCAGTAAGGATCAAACAATAGATAACATACAAAGAACTCGGAGGGCTTATTCTGAGTCAGGGTCAGTTAGCTAAAGGGCTATACAACTTTGGGAAACAAACTCATTTGATGCTTGGATGCTTATCATTAAATTGAGAGCATTCTTAGTAAAGCAGGTTTCACAGGATTTTATGCATTCTTTCTTAGGCCTGATCACCCGGGGAACTGCTCTTTCCAGCACAGGGCTGCACCGTCCTCTGTCATTGTTTCAGGCTTAAGTCAGGCAGGGGAAGTAAGGCAGCCAAGAGATTAGGAGACATCTCGCAGACAGAATGAGGACTCAGGTGATGTCAAAGCTGAGGGGCAAGGGTCCATTACCCCCTTTTTCTGTGGCACCCCAAGTTCTTTCCTGAGGGCCCCTTCATGACTGTGCCTGTCTTAGGTCATCTCTCCTTTGAGGAATCTTCCCCATCATTGGCTAACCAGTCATCCGCCTGGGGACAAGCAGGGTGAAGTAAAAGGGGCAGAGGCGGTGCCCCTGCTGGGGAGATAAGCTTTGTCTCCTTGGTGGCTTACGGTCTGAAGGTTGTTCACTCAGCCTTAGTCATGGGGGGTTATAGCTTCTGAAACCAGGCAGGGCAGTTCCCAACAGAGTATTATACTTATACTTAATTATTATGACATGATAAATCTGTGAAATACTATCTGAAGTCAGAATAACAATCCATATGCATAATATTCTTACAGTGACATAAATGTCCTTTTTGGGGGACATTTTGGAAAAAAATGTGGAAAAATTTAGTAGTTGCTCTCTGTATAAATTATCTTTATTATTGAGCTTATCACTTAAATATTCCCACTTTTTGTTCATAATTCATAAAATATTACTCATTAATTTTATTAATCCTTCTTGAGCCTCTTTCATGTTTTAAATACTTGCCATTTAAAGACATATCATTGCTGATAGAGAAAGCACTTAAGTCAACTAAGTTCTGAGCTGGTTAATATCCTGAACCTATTAAAAATGCTCTATAATATGATTTTTCCAGCTACCCATATAATGTTTCCAACTGGATACTTGGCTTTTACCTAAAATTAAACATGACAATGCTGAACTTGTGAATCTACCTACATCCTCTCTCCCAGGGCTGGTCTTGTCATAGTTACCAGCAATACCTACTTTCTGCCTCTGACTAAATCCTATTATCTTGGGTGATCTTCAAGCCTCATTAAGTTTTAACCAGCCTGTCTGATTTGTTGCCATATCTTACCATAGTTCCTTAGGACTCTTAAAATCTTTTTTGTCCCAACTTGTGTCACCCTTCTCTCAGCATTGCCACCTCTTGTCTAGCCACTTATAACCTCGTCTCTCCCTTCTCTAATAATTCAATTTTACATGCTGCTCCATAGGAGAGACAGCAGGTAAGTGATTTTGGTTAAATTCTGATCTCCTCAGAGCTCTCCAAGAGTGTGCACCAATCCTGACTGAGATTCTTCACCCTTCACAAACACACCCTTATGAACTGCTCTTACTGTGGACAACAGCACTGACCTGGAGCATCAAGGATATCTGGGTCTACCTAATCAGTCAGGCAACAGATCTAAAGGGAATAAATGCATTGTGCTTCTCTTTATGATTCTTTTAAAAAAATTTTAAGGGAAGTTTAATGGGGATTATATTTCAGGGAGACTTCTATTTTTATTTTTGGAGGTTTTTTTTTTTTTCTCCTTGAGTCTATATATATTGGGAAGAAGTAGAAGTAGGAATGGTTAGGAAGTGTAAAGGGGCCTTTGGCCAATAATTGTGGTGCTGGCGATGGAGCATTTCAAACTTGATGTGACAAATAGAATGGCTGTGGTTTGACTGGTTTTGAAAACTGTTGGTACTTCTCACCTCATGCCTGCCAATCCAAGAGAGGCAAAGCCTGCTGTTCTCTATAAATCAGTTTTCCTGATTTCTGATCATATATCATATGCCATGAAAATGTAACTCTTCTTTTCTACCATGTCTTTGTCATTATTTAATTTTTGACTTAAAATCTGGGTCCTTTAGGAAATCATATATTTTATTCTAGTGCCTTATGAAGGTTGGCTAGATTTAAAGAGACATGATAAATATCAAGAGTTGGTTGTTAACTAAGTGGAAAAGAAAAACATATCAGTAGAAAAGTACAGTTATTATGTACCTACTATGTGCCAGGCACTGTTCCAAGTACTTTACAATTTAATGACGTATCTAATCTTCACAATCATTCTAAGATGTAAACACTACTGTCTTCATTTTATAGATGAGGGCATAGAGGCACAGAGAGGTTGAGTCACTTCCTCAAAGTTATGTAGCTAATAAGTGTAAGCAGGGGTTCAAAAGGTTAGCTTTTAACAACTGTGCCTATACTACCTTTCTGGTACTGATTTACTTTTCATGAATAATGTTTTTTTTTTTAAAGATTTTATCCATTTATTTTTAGAGAGGGAAGGGAGGGAGAAAGAGAGAGAGAGAAAAAAATCAGTGTGCGGTTGCTGGGGGTCATGGCCTGCAACCCAGGCATGTACCCTGACTGGGAATCGAACCTGCAACACTTTGGTTTGCAGCCTGCGCTCAATCCACTGAGCTATGCCAGCCAGGACTGAATAATGTTGTTTTTTTGAGAATTAAAGTATGATAATTTTTTTTTGACCAGTAATATTCATGGGAAAATGTTTGGAACCACTCATATAAATGATAATTTCACAGTTTTGTATTTTATAGTCAACATTTTGAGAAACTGGTATCTGGTTGATAAAGGCATATGAGGGTTGATCTATACTGTCTTTATGCTTCAATTGCATAGTGTTTCACAGTTATCATATTGTGTACAGTGTGTACTTTTGAGGGAAGAGACTCTGTTTCAAACTCTGCAAAGCCCATTGTACTTCACAAGCTTTTAAGTGCTTTGTGGATTGGGAATCTGGTGACCTGAATCCTTGTTTCAGTGTTGTCAGCACCCTGCTGTGTTATCTCGAGTAACTCACTGAGTCTCTTAGAGACTTGATTTATTACTTTGAAGTCGGGGTAGGGTTAGAGCACCTTGTCTTTATTCTTGTGATTCTTGGAATACTTATTTTTGGTGAGAGATGATAATATTTATAGTATATGAAACTCAGTTTGTGTACTTCCTAAATATTTAGTATTTATTGGCTTAAATATTCTTTTGAAAGTTACTTTTTGAAGTTCAGTAACACTTTTTTTTGAGAATGTGAGATTGTCTTTTTAATATAAATATATAAATATATAAATATAAAGTTATCCTGCTATCTATAGACAAGAGACTATGTTTTCTGAATGATAGCTTCTGGATATGGATAATTTTACAGTGTTGTCTTATTCCCTGTATTGCAATAGAACATTGTTTTATATCACTAATTTGGGTAAAAGAAGTAATCTGTGGCCATTGAGTTGGTGATTTAAGGGTCAAATCCCGGCTTTCGGCCAAGATGGAGGTGTAGGTAGACATGCTTCGCTTCATTAAACAACCAAAAGAAGGATAACAACCAATTTAAAAACAAAAAACAACTAGAACTTTCAGAAAATCAAACTGTATGGAAGCCTGACAACCAAGGAGTTAAAGAAGAAACATTCATCCAGACTGGTAGGAGGGGTGGAGATGGGAAGCCAGGGTGGAAAAGATGCATGGCAAGGCAACGGTTGGTGGATGGGGTGATCCCACATTCATGTGCTGGTAAGCTGGGAAGAATTGCTGGGGAGTGAGACAGGCCATGCAACCCAGGGTTCCAGCATGGGAAACTTAAGCCTCAAAACCTCTGGCTGTAAAAATCTGTGGGGGTTGTAGCAGCAGGAGAAACCCTCAGTTTCACAGGATAGTCCATTGGAGGGGCCCATAGGATCCTAGAACATACACAAGCCCACCCACCCAGGAATCAGCACCAAGGGAGCATCTGAAAGGGCATAATCTGCTTGTGGGAAGTGAGGGAAGTGATTGAAAGCAGTGTGAGGGCTGAAGGCCCAGCAAGCGGCAATGTTCCCTTTCTGACCCCTTCCCCACAGACAGCGCCACAACACAGCGCAGTGAAATGGGTTGCCCCGCCCTGGCAAATCCTAAAACTCTGCCCCTTACAGCATAACAGGTACACTGAGACAAAGAAATATGGCCCAAATGAAAGAACAGATCAAAACTCCAGAAAAATAGCTAAGTGACAAGGAGATAACCAACCTACAGATGCAGAGTTCAAAACACTGGTAATCTGGATGCTCACGGAAGTTCTTAAATATGGCTGCAAAATAAAGGAAGAATTGAAGTCTATACAAAATGAAGTGAAGGAAAATATACAGGGAACCAACAGTGAAGGGAAGAAAATCTGGACTCAAATCAACAATTTGGAACAAAAGGAAGAAATAAACATTCAGCTGGAACAGAATAAAGAAACAAGAATTCAAAAAAAGTGAGGAGAGGCTTAGGAACCTGTGGGACAACTTTAAACATTCCAATGTCCAAATCATAGGATTGCCAGAAGGAGAAGAGGAAAAACAAGAAATCGAAGCTTATTTGAACAAATAATGAAGGAAAACTTCCCCAGGCTGGTGAGGGAAATAGACATGCAAGTCCAGGAAGCTCAGAGAGTCCCAAAGAAGTTGACCC